ATAATGATTTCTATAATTCTCCAGCCAGAGGAGGATTATGATTTGGATGAAACACTGAGAAATATCGGGCTGCTCAGAGGCTATATTTAGCTGAATGGGATCGAATCAAAGCAAAGCAGAGAATTTGAAAAGGAGCAAAAAGCTCCAGGGATTGAGTTCATTACCAATCGCTGGACTCCAGTCCCGAACACAGCATGTCCATATTTAAATGGCTAATATCACAGACTGCTAATTGTCTGGCAGCACCTATTTTCTTTAGGGGGTTGACACAGCCTGATGAGTCTGCCAAACTGTTTGAAAATCCCTCATGCAGGGAATGAAAGCCATATTTCAGTGCACAGGATCCCAGGAGGGTTATGCTAAATCTGATAAAAGGAAAATGAGAAAAAAGAAAAGGTAAATGAGGAGGCGATGTTTTGTCCATGGGGCTTTTCCTAGTCCTCATGGAGAATGTACAACAAAGTTAGCAGTATGTGCTATTTCTAGCCTGTAGTTTATGAATAGGGCTTTCTTTCCTGCTCCTAAGTCTCCTTCATTTTGCAGTCTGCGTGCTAAGGCATCAGCAACCTTGTTCCCTTTTCACTCTGCGTGCAGACTCAGAGAAGGAGATGCAGTACCAAGGCAAACACAGAATTCGCACAAATGACGCAAGTCACGGCTTCGGTGTCGGGCTGGTGCTTGCTCTTGCCGATGGCCAGGCTGGCTCACGGATTTGGTTGGCCTACCTTGCGTGTCCCATGCAGGCTGCGTGGGAGGGGGTGCCTGCGCGCCGCCCGGTTTGCACCTCGTCCGGAAGGCTGGCGCTGAATGCCCGAATATTCACGCACATAAGTACGTGATTATAGAAATGCTGGATCGCGTGTGAGGGGATTTCTGCTAGTTTGTTTCTCAGAATTTATATTTTGCCTGCCTTTGTGTAGGATTTCAAAAGCGGTTTGGCTGAATACATGGGGTTTTTTGTTTGTTTTCTCATTGCGTTGATTTTCTTTTCCAAGAGCTATTTTTTCTTTCAATAAATAACAACAAAGAAGACAGCCAAGGCCTACAATGCGGATGATCAGCAAGGATGATATTGTCATCCTGTGTCAATCGGTTCCCGAGCCTGGTGAAATAAAGAGTCCCTATGGGAACGTCAGCGCTTCATCAAGACCAATTAGTGGAGATGCCGCTGCTTATGTTTAAGCATTAACGACTGGGCAGGGCTGCTTTTTGGAGTGCCTGACACTGGCATGGAACAAGGCACCGACCTAATTACTCCTCTACAAGAGCAGAAAATGCCTCGTGAATGCCTGCTTGGCAAGGATGTCTCATTAAGGGGAAAAAAACCCACCACAAGCACTCCTAGAAACAAAAATTAAAATGATAGGTAACCTGCGGCCATGAGATTTGCTTCATGGCTGTGGGAAATGAAGAAAAACTGCTGTAAGGTGGCGTCGAAGATATTTGTACTTTATTTCCTAAATCCATCTACTTTTTGGTGAATAAGGAGTATGAGAGACAGGATGCAAACTTGCATTGTTGAAGAACAGCGAAATACATGGCCAGCCTTGGTATCGATGTTAACTAGTACTTGAAGGGCATTCCCATGCTGGTGTTCGATGGGAGTTGTTTTCTTAGTTTGTTCCTTCAGGATTTGCAAACTTGCCTAGGAAACGCAGTGTTTGGTAGACCCGAGTGGAGAGTTGGTAATGAGGAGATTACAATATATAGCCTCTCTTTCTGCTTAAATAGCAGAAAGAAGCAGATAGTGTTTCCCAGTTCAAGTGTTGGTTACAGTATTTTCAGTCATAATAGTTTTGTTAAAATAAACCCGGAAGAATGAGGGGAAACAGCTGCTCAGATGTTTCTTATCTCCTGAGCAGCTCTGTTCATTGCTGAGTTTTAGTTGCTTCTATCCTTTTTACCTTTCTTCTCCTCTGAAGAGTGCCAGCAAACATCAGAAATTCAAAGTGTGTTGCTTAATTGTGATTTATGAGATAAATCACGTGTTATTACTTCTTTTCTTTGACTGGCTGAGCACACACTCCTAAATACTGAGGTCCATTATTCATCCAGGGAGTGGGTGCAGCACAGATACCTTACATGTCAGGCTTTGCCCAAAAGGCCCATTTTGGGCAAGCTAGCTCCGAAAAAGCATTTGCTTGGTAGTGCAAGAACAGCTAAGCTTTCTAGGTAAAGAGGGATCTAGTGTTTGTGCAGATATGCAGATGTTGTTTCATGAGATGTGCCCTTTTTTGGCAGTTACCAACTCAATCACAAAATGCTGAGCTGTCTAGCTGGCTTACGGGTTGAATGCAGCCCTCAGGATGATTATATGGCTGCCAAATGATCTTGACCTATGGCTTTTTTGCTCAAGTCTGGCCCTTTACCTTACTCGCTCCAGCTTTCCCTATCGTACTGCATAGAATGGCAGAGAGAAATGACATGTTCAACAGCTGCACAGAAGAGTACCTATTACCTGCTAAGGTGTAGGTGGCCTGTAGCAGCACTTCTTAAAAGCTAAAACATGCTTAATGCTACTTCTTAAATGCTACATCCTGAGTCTCTGAGGCTGCCACTCTCAAAGAGAGTTAGATACTTCCTTCTCAAAAGCTGCGATACAGCTCTTTTCCTTCCTCGAGTTCAATGGGCAGCCCACTCACGCAGCAGATCCTAAACTCAGCTATTTCAAACCTCACTTGCTTTCAAAGGCAAATGAGCACAAGGCTTTTTTTTTTTTTTTTTTTAACTGTTACCAGGGCTGTAGCAGATATTAATGCTGCAGATGCAGGTTTATAGAGAGAGGGACTACAGGGGTCTGTGCTTTCCTGCGGTATCACTTGCTGCCCTTGCCTCTGGTGCAGCTACAGCTGCACATCCCTCGCTCCCAGTTGCATTATCGCAATTGTGTTTGGCTGGGAGAGATCTGTGGGTCTTTGTCAGTCTTTCTTTCTGTGGCTCTCTTCCTTGCTGATCTCTGAGTGAATGGTGGCACAGTTATGCCTCAATTTGCCCCATAGAAAATAATGAAAATGTTTATATCGTGTGTCAACATGCTGTGAGACCTTCTCATGTAGCTGTGAAGTCTGGCAGCTTTCAGGGCAGTGTCTTACAAATTTTGCTTTGGTTAGACTCTTGCTTCTATTGCTGTTCTGATGAAATAATGCTGAGTCATGAATAACTGTAGATATGTTCAAGGTAGTCAGGTTTCTCGGGGAGCAATGGAGGACCCCGTTTCTATAATATACGTGCCTCTGGTCTGTGTGCAGCAACAATTACATTAGTCAAGTACTCAGCTGTTAACTCAGCTTTTTACTATATCTAACTCACCAGGATACCCTATAATGTAATGTAGAATAGAAGTGCACCAAAAATCAGTTATTTATTCAGTTTTTACAGTTTGTATTCCGCGTTAACTTCTATTGACTTCAATTGGACTGTAGCTTCAGAAAGAAAGAAAATACGAAAGACTTCAGAATTTCGCCCTGTATGTTTCCTTCAAAGCAACACTTCTTAACATAACCAAATAGACAGGAGAAAAAGATAGAAAGTGTCAGGGAAATATAAAAGGGTAATTGCATTGTTGTACTAGAGCTTGATGTTGAAGGCAGATACATAGAACTTGCTGTAGCACAGCTCATTAAAAACTAATTGTCTTATGTAATAATATTTTGCAGTTCTATAGCAGTTATCAGCTAAGGATCTTGGAGCCCTCTGCAGGCTCCACCTTATTCTGGCAGTCCCTTCTGCGAGATGCATCTATTCTGTCTTTTTTCTATAGGCAGGGAAATAGAAATGGCCAGGCAACATGACTTTTCCACAATTGCCTGTTGGGTCTGAGTTAGATCTGAGGTTAGAGCTGGGAACAGTTTGCTTTCACTTCATCCTACTTCAACCATCGTATAAACTTTCCCCTTTTCCTGCTGCTTTTTACCCAGTCATCTTCGAGAGAAACGTTGAGAAACATTGCAGTCGAAAAAAATGTGTCGCTCAGTCACTGATGGAATTGCTGCAAAGTGGTTAGAAAACCTTCTGGAGAGTGCAGTATTGGATGGTCCACTGTCAAAACAAAAAGATACATTAAGTGGGCATCTGCAGAGATATCTCTTGTGTTTGGTACTCTGAGTACTTTCATTCTTGGACTGCAGGATGGAAGAGAATATACACGTATGAAATCTGTAAACCTCTCAAAATTGAGAGGCACTGCGTGTGTTGTGAAGATCAGGAATACAATGCAGAAAGATTTTGGAGAATTGGAAAAATTACTTGAAACATAGGATGCAGTTAAATGGGGCCAAGTGCAAAGCATCAAATTCATGCTGGACCGATGAAGTACCCAAATCCATTATGGGGAGCAACTAGAAAGGCAGAAAAAGGGACCTAGGCATCATAACTTCTCACTAGCTAACCCCTAGTCAACACTCTACTGTTTTTCCAAAGCTGTCATGATATTTCTTAAAAAAAGCGAACATCTGGAGTGCATAAACAGGTGTAGTCTGTGATACACATTAAGTAATTGTCTGATTATTCTGAGAATTAGTAAAAATTCTTTTGAAGTCTTGAACACTGCTCTTCAAAGTAGACGAGAACCAAGTGGAGAGAACTCAGAGGATGGCAGTCAAAAAAAATCATGTCTAGAAAATTTGGCTCACAGAGAAAAGTTAGAAGTTGGAGGTAGTCGGTCTGAAAGCAAATAAGAGTCTGCAAATACAGAAGGGTGGACAGGACTATGTGTGTAGTGGGGAGGACAAGACAGATCTCAGATGAAATTTTCTAGCAATAATGAAGTAGTATACCTGTCAGGAATGCTACATTTTCCTGTACTGTGAGTGGAGATGGACCAGATGAACTTTTTGAAGATGCTGCTTTTGATGATGTGCTATGTCCCCATGCTAGTGCCCATGCGGGTAGTTAGGTGTACTCTTTGAACAGGTGACTATTTATTTGAAGAGAGTAGTCATAAGGATACTGGACAAGCAAGTCACACTAACTTGCTATGTTTTAATCTGTTTTGCCGTCAGGTCAAACTGGGAGGAGAAGCCCCAAACTCCAGTGTAGTCCACATAGCCAAGGGCAGTGATGGCAGCAACAACAGCAAAAAAAAACGTTGGTGGCAAGTGTGGAACCAAATGCCACCTCCTGGATTTTGCCAACTCCGAGCGGCCACTAGTGGTCAACTTCGGTTCAGCTACCTGACCACCGTTCACAAGCCAGCTGTCGGCCTTCAGCAAGCTGGTGGAGGAGTTCTCTGGTGTGGCTGACTTTCTGTTGGTCTACATTGATGAGGCTCACCCGTCAGATGGCTGGGCTGCCCCTGGAATCTCTCCCTCTTCATTTGAAGTTAAGAAACACAGGAACCAGGAAGACCGATGCGCAGCTGCTCACCAGCTCCTGGAGCGCTTTTCCTTGCCACCTCAGTGCCAAGTGGTGGCTGACTGCATGGACAACAATGCCAATGTGGCCTACGGGGTTTCGTTTGAGCGAGTATGCATTGTGCAGAGACAAAAAATTGCCTACCTGGGAGGCAAAGGCCCCTTTTTCTACAATCTGCAGGAGGTTCGGCTCTGGCTGGAACAAAATTTCAGCAAAAGATGAAATCCATTCTCTACAGAAGCTATGTCAACAGATGTGTCCCTTTAAGGTGATGTAAAAGGGAAAAAAAGAAAACATATGCTGGTTTGAATAGGGCCTTTCAGATGATTGCAGGAGAATACATTTGATAGCAAGGTCAAATGAACATTAACTAGCAAAAGAAAATCAAACAAAAAACTAACTCCGCAGAAACATTATTGTATGAATAAAATACCACTCCTGCTCTCGCTATGGGACAGAAGAGGTGAAGAGGCTTCTGTGAAAAGGTGCTGCTGGCGATCAGGAAGAGAAAGAGCGGTGAGATAAGACCTGTCTCCCAGGAACCTGTCTCATGATGTGGCCCTGGGGTGACCCAGAAGCCTTTCTGCTTGGAATGCAATCCACAGAAAGGCAATGCCATGCATTTTCATGAGAGCCGCTTCTTTAGCCTCCTGTGGCCGATGCAAGCCACCTGGGAGGAGCCAGGGGGCTTGCAATCACTTTGCATAGAAATGCAGTGAAGTGTGGCAATTGTCCTCAGATTTTATTGTTCAGAGACTACAGGAACCACCATACAATGCATCCTTCGTGCAGACTGGCTGCTCAAATCAAGGCGAAACATTGTATGTTGGTATTTGTACTCTGTATGGATGCCTCTGCACAGCGTATTAGCTATGTAATCCTATCTGTATGTTTGTATCCAGTATGCAGGCCCGTGCCCTGCTGAGAAAGATGTTAAATCTATGGAGTTGGACCAAAAAAGACAAAGGTGATCAAATTAGCCCATTACTATTTGAAAACTAAAAAAAACCTGGACTATTTGTAACAAAACAGCGAGAATCATCTAGAGTGTGCATCATGAGACAAAACAGCTGATGCTAACCAACCCTCAGTTCTCAGAGCTGACAACACACATTCATCAATATTCTCTGGTTCCCTTCTCTGTTTCTTTACACGCCCTTGATCTCTTTCTGTCTAGCAATAGGCTTAAAGGTAATTTCATTTTTAGCTTTTTAAAAAAATAACTTATTTCTCTCTTTTATTTTTATTTGAGATAATGACCTTACAGATATATTTTGGGGATGGGGGAACTTATACACAACTTTACCTCATTTAAATGGAAACCTATCCTGTCATTTACCCGTTAAATGTAGTCATGCTGATTTTTGCTATCTTAAGTACCTGCAACTGGTTTATAGGTAGGTTAGTTTGTCTGGAAGTTAGGTTGTTTGCAGCCTCAGAATTGATTAGCTGCAGTTCTGCTATCAGATCAGGTGACAGTCTGTTTGTTTCACTTGTGTTCTCAAAAGCCTTCCCAGAGAAACAGGGCAGACAAATAGTGTGAATTAATGTGAATAAATGTAAAAGATGGCAGCATTTTCATACGAATGGGTTTGAGGAATTACTAATTATGTTTAAAGAGATACTGTCAACTTACGAGTATACATTAAGTTTAGGTATTGTAAAACTAAAATGATTTAATCAAGCCTCATGAAAAGGCAAGTTTACAATGAGCTAACCCATTACACCTGATAAATGAAAACTCTTAAGTTGATGGCCTATCCAAGTTTTCTCTCAACTTTAGCAGAAACATGAAACATGAAACAGGGTAAGTGGCAAAAATCAAATCAGTTCTTTTAATTTCTCCTCTTGCCAGTGGTCAGGAACATGATGTATTAGTACTAACACAGGAAAGAACAGAGAATACATACATAAATATTTTCATTTTCACAATGTCCCTTTAATATTGTGTATTTCCTCTTGCTTGGCTGTTGGTCAACTTAGCCAATGTACAAGGAATTTGGAAATGTATTTTCAAGCACAGATCTGAAATAATGACAGTAACATGAGTGATTTCTCCCATATTCAGGTTCATGCTTCCCTTCCTTCTCACATTTTCCTCCACACACTGTTAAACATATACACATACACACACACAGTTTGGTAATGTGTATCAGAGAAGGGTGTAAAGAATGGTCTTCAGACCTTCTGGTGAGCTCCACTTCTCAGAAGTCATGTGTCTCTGTGTGTGTGTGTGTGTGTGTGTATGTCTAAGACCAATAATAATTATTCCGTCTTCCCATTCACTAATGTTACTGTAACTCATTGCTCAATGTGGAAGATTGTTATATATTGTCATGACTAACTGGGATATATATACCTGAAATTTTTAAACCCAGTATCATAGAAACAGTAACTTAGCCAAATGACGTGGTTTATTTAATCTGGTGTCCTACCTCTGACTGTATCAAATGCTTCAGGGGAAGGTGCAATAATTTGTTCTGGAATCTTCATTAGCTTCAGCACTTACTATTTTTATTTTGTCTAATGAGATATCTTTGATGTCTTATCATCCTTATGAGAGGCTGATCCTGAGTTTTGAGACCTAAATATTTCTTGAGGTGGGAAATACTAAAATCAAAAGCCATCATGTTTAAGAACAAAGAAAAACAAATAAAAACAGATGTGTTTTTTTTTAATTTAAATTGGCTGCTTTTCAATGTCATTCTCATCTCCTGCTCTTATATGCTAAAACAGTATAAACAGGAGTGATCCCTATTTTTTCTTCTGCATGTCAGTGATTATATACTCTGTATAGGAATTTACATAGCTTTTGTTTGTTTCTTAAGCCAAACAATAATTCACATTCTTATAAGGTTCATATTCTTTGCTTGTCTCTGAATCTCTTCTGGTTTTGCTACACTGTCCTTTTACTCAGGTGATCAAGCTGTAGATGTTACTCCAAGTGAAAATATGTATTGGTATACCCAGCACAGCATCTTTTCCTTATTATATCCTAGTCTTCAGTCATCTGAAACTTTCTTAATCCATAGCAACTCCGTAGCCTTTGTAAAACTTAAACTAGTAAGTCTTTTCTTTCTTTCTTCTTTTCCCCATCATACAGAATCACAGAATCATAGAATTTTCAGAGTTGGAATGGACCTCTAAAGATCATCTAGTCCAACTCCCCTGCTAAAGCAGGATTGCCTAGAGCACATTACTCAGGACTGCATCCAGGCGGGTTTTGAAGATCTCCAGAGAAGGAGCCTCCACACCCTCCCTGGGCAGCCTGTGCCAGTGCTCTGTCACCCTAACTGTAAAGTAGTTTTTTCGTGTGTTGGAACAGAACTTCCTGTGTTCCAACTTGCACCCATTGCCCCTCGTCCTGTCACTGGGAACCACCGAGAAGAGTGTGGCTCCATCCTCCTTCAACCCACCCTTTAGATATTTGTAAGTAGTAATAAGGTCTCCCCTCAGCCTTCTCTTGTCCAGGCTAAAGAGTCCCAGCTCTCTCAGCCTTTCCTCGTAAGGGAGATGCTCCAATCCCTCAATCATCTTGGTTGCCCTAATACAGTTGAGGTCTGAACTGTTTATCCGGGAAATGCTAGCCAAATGTTTAGCACAGCTGTTGAAACATACCTTTAGTTCAGAGGAGAGAGTCTGAGTTAGTAATTCAGTTAGTTAATACCCCTTTGCATATCTAAAGTTACAGTTATTTTTCAAAGCCATTTTCTCTTTCCTTTTGAATTTCCATTATTTTGTCTTGTTATTCATAGATGCCTGTTCATCACACAGTATAAAGGAATTATAAAATTGGCTCCTGTAAATGGGAAACCCACAAGGATTTTCCACAAGAAAAAATACACAATAACTTCATTTCTTTCTTGGCAACATGAATGCGTTGCTCTGCCCAAAACTTAAAGATAGTTCAGCCTCACTGATTATAAAGACTGTAATATGTTTTGCAAATCCTTAAATTTCCCCAGAAAATTTGTGGTCAGAAAGCAGGGGAAGTATTTCAAAGAGAAATGGGCTTAAAGGAAAAAAATATCTTTTGTAAGTGGCTGATAGAAGCACAAGCTCTTCTCTTTTTTTTTGTTGAAAAAATTAAAACATTTTCTAGAAATGGTTTTAAATTAAACTTCATGCATTGTCCTCAGTTAATGATAGAAGTGACCATATGTCAGATACCCAAAATTATTGTAACAGTGGTTGTTTTGGGTCCAGGCAGAAGTGTTGCTACCCTGCTAGCACTGTACTTCACAATTGGTCTAGTCTGCTGTGAGGCTGGATTTGCTTTTGTCTCTTATTCGCACTGTTTGAGGGCGCTAAACCATATTTCTTGAGGTGCTTCAGTGTGACATACATATTAAGCAATAGCTCACAAAATAGGTGCCTGAAAGTATTCTGGAAGGCTACTGTATATAATAGAGACCCCAATACTGTGTCTCAACATTAGTGTGGGAAACTTCCAGTACTTTTTCATTTTGAGCAAGGTAAGAAGCTATTCCGGGCTATCATTCTACATTGTTTTGTGCTTAGCATCATTTATTAAGTACTGTATAAAATGAATGTAAAACATTTTGTACAGATGAAAACGATAGCATTTTGCTCTTGTTTGTGTAGACAATGACATAAATTTAAGGCAGCAGGAAAACGTGCCCTATTCAAAAGAAAGAAACATATTATGAAACATACTGTTGAACAAGTCTCTGAACACTTTGAAAAACAAAATGCAATCATTTTTATGAAGGTGATCTTGGTGGGGAAACCCATAAAGCTTCTCAAAAAGGTATCAGTGCTATGCGTTCAGGTGTGTGTGGGGAGGGAGGTGATATTTCTGTATGTGTGAAAGTGGCTTTTCTGTGATGTGGAGTGTAGGTTTAAGAGTTTTTAAGACTTCATTCAGTACTATAACCAAAGTAATAAGAGGTATCAGGTAGGGAATATTGGCCAGTTTTGTTCAACTCTACACCATATCTGTGCCAGATCCATATTCAGTGATCTTTGGGCCCCCTTCAGAGGCTTCAGAGAAGAGAGATTGGGGTGAGACAGTGAAGGCTTGTGTGCTTATGAAGATCGCTAACAAAAGAGTAATTAACTCAGTTAGCGTTCAGATGCCCTCACACTGGCATTCCTCTGTGCACCTTAGTGTTTCTGTATTTGAAAGAGGGGTCTCTTTGGGGCCGTTAATAAGATCACCGGGGTGTAGATGCCTATGTGTACTGACTATGTGTGTGTCATTGTTTAAATGTCAAAAATACACTTTGTAGGAGAGCCAGCAAAAT